GACATAGGTCATAATTTCCCACCCCCATAACTCGGTCAAATCTCATCAGATTTTCACGAGGTTTGGCTCTTTGTTAATTTTTTGGCCTCTATATCAATTTGGCATCTAAATCTGGCAACATTATTTTTGGTCGAAATTCATGTGAAAATGGTACCCTCAAATATTCTATATAGACATAGGTCATAATTTCCCACCCCCATAACTCGGTCAAATCTCATCAGATTTTCACGAGGTTTGGCTCTTTGTTAATTTTTTGGCCTCTATATCAATTTGGCATCTAAATCTGGCAACATTATTTTTGGTCGAAATTCATGGCGTCGGAATTCATGTGAAAATGGTACCCTCAAATATTCTATATAGACATAGGTCATAATTTCCCACCCCCATAACTCGGTCAAATCTCATCCGATTTTCACGAGGTTTGGCTCTTTGTTAATTTTTTGGCCTCTATATCAATTTGGCATCGAAATCTGGCAACATTATTTTTGGTCGAAATTCATGTGAAAATGGTACCCTCAAATATTCTATATAGACATAGGTCATAATTTCCCACCCCCATAACTCGGTCAAATCTCATCCGATTTTCACGAGGTTTGGCTCTTTGTTAATTTTTTGGCCTCTATATCAATTTGGCATCTAAATCTGGCAACATTATTTTTGGTCGAAATTCATGTGAAAATGGTACCCTCAAATATTCTATATAGACATAGGTCATAATTTCCCACCCCCATAACTCGGTCAAATCTCATCCGATTTTCACGAGGTTTGGCTCTTTGTTAATTTTTGGCCTCTATATCAATTTGGCATCTAAATCTGGCAACCTTATTTTTGGTCGGAAATTCATGTGAAAATGGTACCCTCAAATATTCTATATAGACATAGGTCATAATTTCCCACCCCCATAACTCGGTCAAATCTCATCCGATTTTCACGAGGTTTGGCTCTTTGTTAATTTTTTGGCCTCTATATCAATTTGGCATCGAAATCTGGCAACATTATTTTTGGTCGAAATTCATGTGAAAATGGTACCCTCAAATATTCTATATAGACATAGGTCATAATTTCCCACCCCCATAACTCGGTCAAATCTCATCAGATTTTCACGAGGTTTGGCTCTTTGTTAATTTTTTGGCCTCTATATCAATTTGGCATCTAAATCTGGCAACATTAATTTTGGTCGAAATTCATGTGAAAATGGTACCCTCAAATATTCTATATAGACATAGGTCATAATTTCCCACCCCCATAACTCGGTCAAATCTCATCCGATTTTCACGAGGTTTGGCTCTTTGTTAATTTTTTGGCCTCTATATCAATTTGGCATCTAAATCTGGCAACATTATTTTTGGTCGAAATTCATGTGAAAATGGTACCCTCAAATATTCTATATAGACATAGGTCATAATTTCCCACCCCCATAACTCGGTCAAATCTCATCAGATTTTCACGAGGTTTGGCTCTTTGTTAATTTTTTGGCCTCTAGATCAATTTGGCATCTAAATCTGGCAACATTATTTTTGGTCGAAATTCATGTGAAAATGGTACCCTCAAATATTCTATATAGACATAGGTCATAATTTCCCACCCCCATAACTCGGTCAAATCTCATCAGATTTTCACGAGGTTTGACTCTTTGTTAATTTTTTGGCCTCTATATCAATTTGGCATCGAAATCTGGCAACATTATTTTTGGTCGGAATTCATGTGAAAATGGTACCCTCAAATATTCTATATAGACATAGGTCATAATTTCCCACCCCCATAACTCGGTCAAATCTCATCCGATTTTCACGAGGTTTGGCTCTTTGTTAATTTTTTGGCCTCTAGATCAATTTGGCATCTAAATCTGGCAACATTATTTTTGGTCGAAATTCATGTGAAAATGGTACCCTCAAATATTCTATATAGACATAGGTCATAATTTCCCACCCCCATAACTCGGTCAAATCTCATCAGATTTTCACGAGGTTTGGCTCTTTGTTAATTTTTTGGCCTCTATATCAATTTGGCATCTAAATCTGGCAACATTATTTTTGGTCGAAATTCATGTGAAAATGGTACCCTCAAATATTCTATATAGACATAGGTCATAATTTCCCACCCCCATAACTCGGTCAAATCTCATCCGATTTTCACGAGGTTTGGCTCTTTGTTAATTTTTTGGCCTCTATATCAATTTGGCATCGAAATCTGGCAACATTATTTTTGGTCGGAATTCATGTGAAAATGGTACCCTCAAATATTCTATATAGACATAGGTCATAATTTCCCACCCCCATTACTCGGTCAAATCTCATCCGATTTTCACGAGGTTTGGCTCTTTGTTAATTTTTTGGCCTCTAGATCAATTTGGCATCTAAATCTGGCAACATTATTTTTGGTCGAAATTCATGTGAAAATGGTACCCTCAAATATTCTATATAGACATAGGTCAAAATTACTCACCTCCATTCTTTGGTCAAAATCAAAAAAACAACAAAAACAAAATTAACAAAAATATGACAAAAAAAATAACAAAAAAAATATCAAAAAAAAATACCAACAAAAAAACACTAGACTAGCTAAGCATGAAAACCCGCAGAAATTTATTTAAATTTGCAGCGTAGCGACAAATAAGCTTGGTATGCGTCTGAATGTTTACATATATTCATAAATGCATACATACATGCATGCGTACACTAACACATACACGCCCACACACACACATATATAATACTATATGCCTTCGTACAAAATACTTGTATTATTACATACTTTGTTCCATAAAAGCTCACTGTTATTAGATTTGTAAGGAATCTATACTTTATTTAATGCTGGTATACCATATGAACCTAAATAAATGTATGCTTCGATGTTCGTAAAAAGGGTAAAATGTTTTTGTGCCAACGATATAGAAAATATCTTAGGTCTTAAGAGCTGGAGTCACCAATCGTGACCTGTAGCTCCTAGAATAGTATATACAGAGCAAGTATCTTTCATTTTACAGCTATCGCCACCCCCGCCATCAGCGCATTTTTTCATGTATGTATTAAAAATGGTTAAAGGGACGTATTGAAAGTTGTGAAAATATATACCAAAGGCAAGCAAAAGCATCTCCAACTTCATGAAGCTCCATTTATGTTTTTTTTGGGATTCTCACTAAACAATTTCCGCTTATTGCGTATTTTTCCACAGTTGCTTTTGGTTTCATTTCCGAATTTGGAACCATGGGCTTGGGAAAAACAACGTATATTTTTTCTGATACTCTGGTCTCCTTTAGAAGAAGTGCAATATTATCAATTACTCGACAATTTAGTACCACGTACTAGGACTGTGGCTGGATTTGGCAGTGGGGTCGTGAAGGGGCAGAGAGTACGACAGAATGAAATGCCCGGATGCAAACAATAAAATACATTTTCCGGTTACTTGTCACCCACTTTTCTAACGTTTCACTCTCGTTCCCCGCTTGTCGGTAGAGAGGAAAATCGCCACCAAAGCTGACACATGCTGTTCTCCAGCCGACAGACAAGGGGCAAGACCCAAAGTTCTGGCAACTCCTTAGCAATTGCCAACGCAGCATTTCACTTTTGGCCAGCTGTTGTTGTTTATTTTACGTTGTTGTTTTTGTTGTTGTTGTTGTTGTTGTAGTCCAAAGTCATGTCGACAATGGCTTTAGCTTTGCTTTTGACACTTGGTAAATGGCGCCGCCCGTTGAGCTCGGTCGCTGCAACCAACAGTTGCCCAACTGGGCGTGGCCAAGCAACTTTAGGCGAGTGGTTCCTCTGCTCCTGCCTCCGGTTCTGGACAACGACTTGTTTACCGCTGCACTTACGCGTCGCACTTGAAAAGTTCCGGACTCTTTTCTACTCTGCCCAGCCAGAATGCGGTCTTCTTCGGCAATCCTTGGTTTCGGTGCCTCTTGCCCTTTTTGCCACCCAAATATAAGTTGTGCCAAAGTGCAGATTGGAACAAATCTTGGCACACAGAGGAGTACATTTGGGCCCAGTTCTTGGCTATCTCCATAGGCGAGCTGTTTTTTGTCATGTTAGATAAAATAATTTATCAGGCAGCTTGACAGAAGATTTGATGTTCTTGCTCGATGCCAATCGGTGACAGCAGGTTGAGTGGAGCACGCTATGAGTATGATCGCTAAAAATGGTTCGTTGTAGCTTCATTTAACAAACTACGGCAACCACTCTAATAAAAGTAACAATAATAAATGGTTAAATGGCCTTAATGACTGTTGATTTGGTAAACCATCAATGGGATCGAAATTAAGGCTTTGGGATTCGAAAACATATGTTAACAAAACACAACAAACATGCTATGCTTCTAACCAACAAGCAAATATAATATAGATCTAATGCATGGCGACACCAGTAAAATATTCTCGACTAACTTACATGTTTGTTAATTGCATATACTTAACTCTACAGGAAGATTGGGAAATTATACCCTTGCAGAGGGTATTATAATTTTGTCGCAAAATGTGTAACGTCCCATAATGTATATATATTCTTGATCAGTATCAACGGCCAAGTTGAAATAGCCATGTCCGTCCGTCCGCCTGTCCGGCCGTCCGTCTGTCCGTCCGTCTGTCCGTCCGTCCGTCTGTCCGTCTTTCTGTTTCCATGCGAACTAGTCTCTCAGCTTTAAAGCTATCGGCTTACCCATTCTCGGCATTAACTATTTTTCCTTTGCTTCTTAGATACGACCAAAACATTATGAGCATTAAGAAAAGGTTCGGTCTGCAAGGGTATTAAATCTTTGGCGTGCAGAAGATAGCCCTTCTTTCTCGTTTTTAAATGTTTATAATTACTTTTTAAATTCCGAATTTGTAAAATAAATGTACAAAAACCAAAATCCACCCAACTGCCAAAAAATTTAATAAATAATCGAAACTATGAAAATTAAAAAACCTACGGGAAAACGTCAAAAAAGTTTGATTCTATCTGCTGCGTAGTACTATTGATAACTTCTCCAACCTTGTTTATCCATAATCCTTCTCATTCCCCACAAAATTCTATTAGCAATTTAATAAATTAAAACAAATAAATGTGTTCAACAAATTTGAAAAAAAAGACCATAATAGGAAGGATGAGCGATAGCTTCGTTGTCCTGTTAGTCCTAAATTGCATCGCCCAAATAAACTGACCAGAACAGAGGACATCTTCATGGTGCTGTGAGTTCTTGTCTTTGCCACATTTGCTGCATTGTACTCTGCATGTACTCTGGCCTGTCCAGGAAGGAGGGAAGAAGAATAGAGGATATAAATCTTAGTGGTAAGTAGTAAATTTTCATTTTCACACCTTTCAACACTTTTCACACTAACACAACCAGAAGGAACATTTTGCTGTCAAAATGTGAGCGAAGCTCTCTGAAGTACGAAAAAAAACAGAAGGGAACTATTCTAGAGAGTCGGACCCCGTGCTGCCCCGTTCGCCATCTCGGACTCTTTCTGGCTGACAGACTACACAAATACTGTCATACGCAGTGCAAAAAGCGTAGCAGAGCAAAGAGAGCGGCATGGAAAGAAGAAGTTGAGGAAGGAGAGCTGAAGCCATGGCGCAGGCAAGGCAGACAAAGTGCCTCTGAGCGTAAATAAATTGGAAATGTCCTTTGGCCTGGCACTGACTGGCGTTAGCCATACCCGTTGCCTGCCTCCATCTGTGTATCTATGGGGTCCTTGCATTGCAATGCGTCCGACGATGGAAGCCGATGCTTCCATTTTAATATTAATTTTACCCCAAAGCGCAGACGGTGCCCCCGAATACCCGAACATTCAAACATCCGAACACCCCAACTGCACCAGATAGGATAGGATAGAATAGTAAAGCGAAGCGAAGGCCAGGCGAAAAGTTATTGCCTTGGCAGGCTGGCTGGCTGGCTGGCTGGCAGGCGGCAAGCAAGCAGTAATCATGGGGCAAGGTTCCTGGGAGCTGCAGTATCTTCCGCCCCTCGCCTCGCTGCCTCTGCCGTTGTCAGCTGAAGCAATTTATGTCAGTGCATATCCGACAGCCTGGCAGTTGCAAGCCATGTGCGAGCCCAGGCAACATCAGAGCTCCTACTCCTTAAACCAACACCAAAGTGTCCTTGTTGGAACCAACACAACACAGCGTCGACAAGAACAACAAGAGTGCAGCACCTATCAAGTTATCAAGCTGGCAAAAGTCGCCTACCCACTACAGGCTGCAGGCTCACCAGCTCCCTCATCTCCTGGTCTGTGTCTGTCCGCGAGCCTTGTTATTCTGGCAACGACATCGAGCAGGCCAAAAGTTTAGTACAACCTTTGATTTATATTTCTACAGCTCGTTCTGCCGTTTGTTTGCTCGCTCGCTCTGCCAAGGGAATCGCTCTATTTTCAATGCGACGTCCTAGACTGCAGTCGCTTGGCTCGCATATCCTTTTTAGCACACCGGAAGCCAAAAAATATTTATTAGTTTGTTAAATTGTGAATTGGCCGGCACGTTGTTCATTCTCTGTGCTCCGTCTTCGATTGTGAGGGCAACGCTGCCTTTGGATTTGGATTTTGTTTTTTGGCTGCTTGCTATTTTGGTCTTTGGCCCCAGTTCGTTGGATGTAATGACTCTTGACAGTGGCAAGGCTCTTGGCCTGATTTGTAAACCAAAAGGATTCCATTATTATATTTCATTGCCATGCACTTTGACACCCACTGCTGTAAATAACACGCCCACAAATTCTCACAAAAGTCAACCGTATTCTCTTAATGGCTGTGTTAGTTCTAGTTCTAGCCAGATCCCAAAATATAACATGGCCTAGCCAATTACATCTGTTGGCACTCTAAAGTTATGTTAGCGTAGGCATAGCTCATCAGTTGCGCGAGCTGCCCCATTGCAGTCTTATTTTGATGTATAATATTTTAATTAAAATGTAAACCGAAATGATTAAGTGTTTCCAATTTATATGTAATTTTTCATAAGCATAAAGCACTGAAAATCGTCGGTAGAATACAAAGGCGCATAATTAATTACAGCGCCCCGAGCAGCACGAACGAAGGGCAACAACAACAGCGGCAGCAGCTAATGACAGTCGAAGTCCAAGTCGAAGTCGAATTCGAAGTCACCGCCCCTCCCCTCCCGCACCACTCAATGCGGCCCCATCGGTGTTTGGGAACAGCAGCTGATTAATGATGGGCAAGGCATTGGAGAGAGCAAAAGAGATGGAAGATTGGCGACGGCACTGACGAAATGAGCACAACATCATCATGATAATGAACATTATGTGATAAATCAGAGGAGCTGCACCGAGCGCCGCACAATAATAAATTAATATAAATGATACTTAATTTTATGATTAATGATATTGATGAGTTTCCACAGGCTGCTCACGGCTCACGGCCCGACTGACCATCTTCTACTGACCGGCCGGCCACTGACCGCTCACCGCCGGCTCGCCGCAACGGGCCGACAGAGCGCTGCGAAAGGGTCGAGATAAAAGTTTCATAAATTTATCAACGATAAATCAGTAAAGGTTTGGGCCATTCCGCAAGCCCACAGCTCACACTGAGTAATATACAATAAATAAAAATAAATAATACATAATTACAACATGTGATTATTGGCGGCGCTGCCGCCGTCCTCGTCGAATTGATGAGTTCTCCCCACGCCAATGACGCCTTCTGACACGAATGCGAACGCACTTAAAAGGCGGAATGAATTTTCGACTTGGACCTGGTTGCGCTTTGAACTCATCCTGTTTCCCGCTGTGTGCTCGACAAATGATGTGCCCCATTTGTGGCATATCATGTTATATGTATAAAACTCAAATTGATTGAATTGTTGAATCAATATTCTCAAATTATTCACTTTTAACCTTGCTCAAATATGCCTTTAAAGATCGAACCAGAAATAAATAGGTCATTCCCAGTTCTGCCAGTTGTGAAGTTATATATTTTAGAGCAAGGTTTCTAGGATTAAATATTGTAATCTGCACAGATTTCTCAATATACAGGCTACACCTACAAAAACTTTTTCGTCTAATCGTTTATCCATCAGCTTATTTTTTTTAACAACATTATTGAGTTATTGAGTCTTGTTTCTAGTCCGATCCTAATGATATTCTTGGCGCTCTACGTCTACACATACGATACAGATTTCAATATAAGGCTTTTGTTTTATTTATTTATAAATCCATGCATACCGCCAAAATCAACGTTTCTGCGGACATGATTTAAAATACTGTCTTGATTAATTATGAATATTCCTCCCAACTTTTCAATGTGTCTGCACAAAACCCTGATACCCTTGAAAAAATAGATATAAAATTCAATTCAGCTTTTGGGCATCATAGAAATAACATTTTTTGATTGATCTTAGTGGCAATGATTATCAAGTGCAGCAGATGGAAACTGGCATCTGATCTATCATCTCATTGCTGAAGCGAGCGACAGATGATAAAAGTGACTTATTTTAAGATAGCGTAAGTCATATAAGTTAACCTGTCAACGCCAGCAAAATAGACGACAACCAAAGTTATCCTGGGTGGGTCGAGAAAGTGAAAAGTTAAGCAAAATGAAAAGGAAGGTTAGACAAATTCGAAATCCCTTATTCCTTCTGTTGGGCAAAGAACCGGCTGGCATCCCGAATGGAAAAATGTTTTGCTCTTGGCATTGTTTCTCCCATTTGTTTCTACAAAAGTGCAATTTGCACCCAAAACAGCCGCAGCAGGGCAGTCAGTAGATGGTTAGGGTTAGGGAGAGGAGGAAGGTTAATAACGAGACACAAAACACGAGACACAAGCGTGTTGACAATGGCAAAAGAAACAATGAACGAAACACAACACACACATGACAAAAGCAAAGAAAAATCTCCTTTGTGCTGTGTAACAGCAGTATAAAAAATCACGAAAACTTTCAAAATAATCTACAAACTTGGAGTGTGCGGCATATGTTGTTGTCTGTCCTCGTATGTGTGTGTGTGTGTGTGTTGGGATGCCAGATCATCAGTGGAAGAGCGGCTGCTGCTGCTGCTGGAAACTGGCGATAAACAGACCTAGTCAGCCCGAAAAAAAACGAAAAAAACAGCTAAAGAAAGTAAGGAAAACTGCAAAATTGCAACAGCAGCAGCAACAACAATGTCAACTGACAGCCGCTGCGGCTGCCGCAGCGAGCCACGCCCCCAACTCCGTGCACCCGCCCAAACATTTGGGTTGGAACAAATGCGTACGTGACACTTTGGTGGCTCAGATATAAGAGTGTCACATAACTCAACGTGATTAACGTCTTTTGACGCTCTCAGCCAGAGCCGAGCTCCAAGTCCCAGACCCGCGCCCAGGCCCCGTTCTTTCCCAGTCTGCATTCCAAAAATATTGCCGACAATAAAACAAGTGCTTCTCTGCGGATACTCAGTAAGATTCAGCCGTCGCGTAGGGTTGTTTGCCATTTAGCGACATTTTCTATTATGCGATTGCGGCCCTGCCTCCGCTTTGGTTATTTATGGCTCTCAGACTACGCTATTGACTCTTTTGAGTGCAGATTTGACTACATACATATATATAGGTTTGCAGTGTGTCTAACTTTGAGAAGAAGAACGAAAAAGTACAACAAGGAATAATTTCTTATATTTTGGAAAAGTTCAAATATAATTCTGCATTTACCTGATTGTGTTATACTTATTCTAAAAAGCAGCAAAGTATTTTTAAACTTAAATATTGGCAAGTTCGGATTCTGAATGAAGCGATTCCATTTTAACCAACCCTATAGTCCGTCTTTTTTCTAATTCTCCAAATATTTAGCTATAATTGCATAGAAACTTTTAGTTGGTTGGAAATAAGTTTTTTATAACGTAACCAGTTTTTCGATCGTTAGTAGTACGATATCTCTATATATAAAACTGTTTGTCCTGACTGACTGACTGACTGACTGACTGACTGACTGACTGACTGACTGATTGGTGATCAACGCACAGCCCAAACCGTAAGAGATAGGAAGCTGAAATTTTCACTGTAGCTACCTTATGTGATGTAGGTGCACGTTAAGACGGGGTTTCGGGAAATTCCACCCGAAAGTGTGGAAAAATCGCGAAAAACGTTTGTATGTAACTTTTTTGTTTACCATCCGATCGGCCTCAAACTTATTTTCAAAGATCTTTGTTCAAATTCATTTGAGGGGTGTTTCACACTTTTAGGAAAATCCGCTCCTCCTTGGTGGAAATGGAGGTCTAAGATTTGGTGGGTGACGTTTCGCGCTCAAATTCATTTCCAGAGATCTATAAGAAAAATCATTTGATACGTGTTTCACACTTTTCGCAGAATTCAAACTTCTTCGGGGGGAATGCGATTTAAAGATTTTTTGGGCGAAGTTTCAAGTTGTGTCCGATTTGCTTCAAACTTATTTTCAAAGCTCTACATAAGAACTTAATGAATACGTATTTCAGCGATTTAGGAAATTCCACCCGCAACAGTGGTAAATTGGCGGAAAACGTTTGTATGAAAGTTATGTGTTTACCGTCCGATCAGTTTCAAAATCATTTCAAATTTGTTTGAGTACATTGATTTTATAACATACGTGCCAAGGGCAAGAACGGGTTATACCCGCTAGTCATTAATAATATTTCAGGCAATTAACGCTTTATTCGTTCATATGGATATGGGATATGGGGGACCTAAGTTCGAACTTCAAACCTCTAG